TAGCATGATTAGACTGGTTAGCATGGTTAGACTGGTTAGCATGATTAGACTGGTTAGCATGGTTAGACTGGTTAGCATAATTAGACTGGTTAGCATGGTTAGACTGGTTAGCATAGTTAGAGTAGTTAGCATAATTAGACTGGTTAGCATGGTTAGACTGGTTAGCATAGTTAGAGTAGTTAGCATAATTAGACTGGTTAGCATGGTTAGCCTGGTTAGCATGGTTCAGGGCTTAAAGTAAAAAAAATCCTGAGCCTGAAACTTATAGTGGTGACAGAAATGAACTATACCGTTTCTATCACAGTTTAATAAAAAGTGTCTTTGAATAGTGCAAACAATTGCTTCTAACAATACAATTAGCTAAACACTCAAACTTAAACTTGGCCCGGCGCCACCTGTTTTTAATTCCTTTCTCAAGTAATCATGTTTCTTTACCAGGTGAGACAAACTCCATCTTCTTTCATATCGCATTGATTTAACCGCCGAACCGAACGCATGAGCTTCTTTTCTACAAACCGTTTTACAGTCATTGGTCAAGAACACGGGAGCTAGAGTTCTGATTGGCAGACATCTTTGTCTATTATCTACAGTTTAGTTGAGGCGGCCGTTTGGTCCAATGCTCGCTTTGCTTAAAAAGCCGTAAATCCGGCCCCCGGCCGGAGCTCTTTAAGCCCTGATGGTTAGAGAGGTTAGCATGGTTAGACAAGCTGGGATGTTTAGAGTTGTTAGTAGGAACCACATTCAGACTACAGGATGTTTTTTCAGTCCAGATGAAGGGTTTGTATTTAATCTGCTGAGGAGAACCGGATCAGTAAATGAGTTAAAATGCAGCTTCTGTTTAAAGTTCTGGCGCCGGTCCAGCCCCTGTCATCAGTTTGACACCTGGAGAAAAGCTCAGACGCCCTCCAGGACTTGCCGTTCCTGTTCTGCGTCTCCATCTTTGTTCTGACTACAGAATGCGGCGTCGGGCAGAGGATTAGTCTGGGAAACTTCCAGCTCGCTCTACAGATCAGTGGAGACCGGCTCGGTGCTTAGCTACCTTCTGCCCGGCCGCTGTACATCTCCACATCAAAGGTGCCGCTCAGAGGGGGCGTGGCTCTGCGGGGCCGGGTCACGGTGACCACCGCGCCTCCGGAAATGAACTCGGCGACATCCTCACTGCTGTTTGACATCTTTAGAGAAGAAGAAACAAGTTTAATCAAAGCCGACCTATTGTGCTTCTTGAACAGGTCAGGATCAGGCTATGGCCTATTCAAAACATGATCTTCACATTTTTTTCCATTAAATTAAATAATCAGATTTCAGTTCTGCCTATCTTCAGATGTTTAAGGGCCCCTGCTGCAGGCCCCACCTCAATCTAAAAGTTTACAGTAATACATAAAAATGGTTGCATATAGCAGCTAACCAGAAATTAACCAGAAACAAACCAGAAACCAACCAAAAACCAACTAGAAACCAACCAAAAACCAACTAGAAACCAACCAGAAGCCAACTAGAAATCAACCAGAAACCAACTAGAAACAAACCAGAAACAAACCAGAAACCAACTAGAAACAAACTAGAAATCAACTAGAAACAAACCAGAAACAAACCTGAGACAAACCAGAAACCAACTAGAAATCAACTAGAAACAAACCAGAAACCAACTAGAAATCAACTAGAAACAAACCAGAAACCAACTAGAAATC